TACCCACACTTAAAATATTTATAAATATTAATATTAATATTATTTTTTAAAACCGAAAATACAATATAGAAAAAAGTTTTAGAATTATTTTAATTCAAAAATAAAATATTAATTAGTATAACGTAAATCAAAAACTAAGGTTAATATAATAATTTTGAACAATGAATTCAACAATTATTCATATCTTTAATGTTTAATTGATAAAGTTAAACGTATTGTTTGGATAATGAAAAACTGAATCGAGACATATTAGTTGTACATTTCTTTTAGTATCATATCTGCTATTTTTTCATAGTGGAACTGTTGTAACTCAAGAATAAAATATTTATCTTCACAGCGTACATTACTAAAGTTGAATTCATAGTTTTGAATATATGAATTTACTAATTCTTTCTTTTGACATGTGATTGGTAAATCGGTAATATCTTGTTTGATTATTGATAAAACTAAATCGAAACATGTTTGATACAAATTTAACTGTTTTTGTTTTGTAAGAATACATGCATTAACACAATGTTGTAACTGTTTCAAACGTGATAAATTGAAGCGAGATAATGTTATACGATTTTTATCGACTCTTAATGTAATAGTTTCATTATTTGCATTAATTGAATAAAAAATATCATCGATTAATACATTTGGTTTAGAATGAGTATAAAGTCTACTAAGAATTGTGTTAAAATTAGATTCAGACATTATGTAATTCCATTTTTCTTCGTCTAATTTCAAAGACTGTTTTGTTAATTCACATTCGAGTAGAATAACAATTTTAATTTGATAATCAACTAAAAATCCAATTGAAATTCTTTTTTTGTTATTAAAAGGTTGAATACTAAAAACTGATTTACATACTACTGTTGAAATCATTATATTTTAATAATATGATGTATAATATAATTAAAAAAAAATATTAACAACCAAATTCATCGTGAAAACGTTTTGGTGGTTTTGAAATCCTTGTAGACTTCCTTATAGATTTAGTTTTATTTTGTAAATTATATTTTAATAACATAATTTTTTTCACATTTAAATGTTTAAAATCGACACTAATAAAAATATTCGAAGGAAACATAACTTAAAAACAAAACATATGTAATTACTTGTTGACTATTATCAGTATACTAAATGTATCTACTTATTCTAGGAATAAAAATTAATACATTTTTTTAAAAATAAAAAAAATATATTATTTACTAACGACATCTAGTTAGTTGAAAAATAATTTAACTGTAATAGAAAAATGGTTGAAAATTTATTATTTTATCGTTAACTAAAAAGCTATATAAAATATAATACAGGTAACTTTTGATTGAAGAAAAAATATATAAAAATGTTAAATTGGGAAAAATATAGTTCTAAAATAAGGTAAATTTACCGTGGTAAAATTGAATGAAAGAAGCCAAAATCATCGTTTAAAAAGAAGCCAAATCTCGTAAATTTACCGTGGTAAAATTAAATGAAAGAAGCCAAAATCATTGTTTAAAAAGAAGCCAAATCTCGTAAATTTTACCGTGGTAAAATTAAATGAAAGAAGCCAAAATCATCGTTTAAAAAGAAGCCAAATCTCGTAAATTTACCGCAGCAAAACTACCTTGAAAAAAAAAACTGAAAAAACCATGGTTGGAAGCCCCATAATACTACTACTTTACTAAAAATCGTTTTGGCGATAATTTGATGTCAAAACTGTTAGCTGTTTACAAAAGAAAGTGTGTTTGACTGTTAATTAAATTTGAATAAAAAATAATTTTTGTTTTAATTTTTTTTATTGATACCTATATTTTTGTGTTATACCGTTGTGGTATACATTTTATAGAATTTCAAATTACTTTTCATGTATCAAGAGCAATAGGAAAAAAATGGGATGTGTATGCAAATTGCAAGCAAATGCAAAATATTTCTCCCCCCCCATGTGGCTTTTCAAAAACCACCACTGACGTGTGCATGATGAACGAAAAGGGGAGACTGCGTCCGACATTCGAGCGCGTTCGGTGTTTTTGTTTCTCCCTCGATATCCCCTTATCTGTACTACCGATACCGTGTTATGCTGTTATCGCATCACGATCCCTCTTATCATCCGTAGCAAAAAACGAGTCGCGTTATCACCACAGACCAAGTTTCCAGCAGACGGAATAGTAATAATAATAACAAAGTAATGTATTCCTTTTTCGGGTGCGTGCGGACGTTTGTGGTGCGTTTACGGGTCGAAGCGAGTGGAATTGTTTTTTCGTTTTTCAATCTCAATCTTTTCCCGTCGTAAACGTTTTGATCCCATTCCGGACGGTAAGTCCGACGTCAACGCGCCGCCATGGGAGTTCAAGGCTTATGGAAGTTACTGGAATCAGCTGGAAAACCGATTCCCGTCGAAAAGTTAGAGAACAAAGTTCTCAGTATCGGTATCCTTTTTCGTATTGTTCGTGTTCCCCACCTTCCGAAACAGATTACTCTCATCATTTATATTTTAAAATGTCTGTCTTTGATAACGATAACAATTACGTCAAACATGATTTATGAATTCAATATCACCGAAAACATTTTAGTATTGTTCTTTGAGGCATTTAAGCTTATAACTTTATTTCATATTATGTTTGTTGTTGATTTTAATCTTAATTTTCTATTTGAATATAATAATATTCTAATGTCCAACAAAAATTGTGTACATGTGTCTATAAAATATAGACCATGTTATGGATTTACATAAATGTTTAGGCTGCAAATTAGAAAAAAAAGCATGAAATATTTTTTTTAGCTATTATAAACTCAACACTAAATTATTAATACATGTATTAAACCTATTTTAGTATACTAAAATAAAGTATTTCTTTTATTTTCGTATAATAATGTCAATAAGACCAATCAAATATATCCCGAAGCAGAACTAGGGTGTGGGATTCATCCCCAAATGTTAAATTTTTGAGGGTGTAATTTTTGTAGTATATAATGTATAGTTTACTACTAATTTAATATTTTTAATTTAGTTACTGATAATGTGTTTAAGACTCATTAAATATGATTGTATGCTAATTATTAGAAAAACATTGTGGGGAAGGATATTAAATTTTTGGTCTATGATAGGGCATAATTTTAACATTTTCTCTGAGTGTAAAAATTCCTAGTTTCGCTTTTACATACACCTACTGATATATTTTAATATTATTGTTTAAATAATATTGGTATTAATAATTCTGAATATTTAAATTAAATTAAATACTTATAAATAAAAATAATTTTTCAATTTTTTTTACAAAAACAATTAAATTACATTTTTAATCTTAACATTTTAGTTAAGAACATCTTGAAGTTATAAATTTAATTTAATGTAATAGTGATTCTGTTAATTTACAATATTTATATTAGTTATAATTGGTTAGGTTATTTTAATGATAATTATCTTTGTTGCTGTATATAAAATCTGTGTAAGTTTTGTATTTTAATATACATATTCATTCATGAATTTATCATTTTAATTTTAGTCTTAAATTTATATTTATATATTTTTTATTTGAAGTACAAATGTTTAAATTACACTACTTACTCGTATTATGGATCACAGTTGTAGATTTAGAAATGAAAAAAGGGAGGGCTAGTAAAGAGAGTTACTGCTATAATTTGTTACGCATGTTAATTTGTACAAAGTCTTTCTTATGTTTAATTTTTTAAATATTTTAAATATCTAGGTCTGATATGGTTCTACCTACTGTCTAAAGGGAGGGGGATTTTGTCCTCATAGCCACCCTTGTATTCTCGTCTGATTTAAATTTGCCTACATTTAAATAAAAAAATGAAAAGTGTATTTTTTTTATCATTATTATAATACACAACATCAGCACTATTTGTTCCGACAAAATACTAAGTATTATTCTATAAACGAATAAACTATTTCCTATAATATTTTTTTTTGTCTCATTACAAAAAAATAATGTCAACATGTTTAAATCATGAAATATATTTTAAAACATCATTGGAAATTGTGTCATGGAATTTTTAGGACATCATAATATCAAATTTAGTAAAAAAAATTAATAACTATTAATAATTACTTCTATGATGATTTTAAGTATCTTCAGTATACTCACTTGAAGAACTTAAAACTCATAACTTGAAGAACATATAATTTTCTCTGTTTTTGTGTAGTCTTAGTCACTTTAAACTTGAATGGTATTTAATTGCTTAACAAGACCAAAGATATATTGTTCTTTTATAATGCAACTTTATAATCAAATTTTTTATTTGATATTTAATTTGCTGTCCTTAAATTTTCTGTTTTAACTCATAAGATTCAATATTAGGATACTTAAAATATTATTATTTTTAATTTTTTAATAAGTAAATATTTAGTTTCATATTAAAGCATACCCATATTGTAATTACATTTCTCTTAACTCAGAATAATATTATAAAAAACAATAATGGGTATCTCACATTTCAAATATATTCAAATTTTTTTTTAACGTATTATAATTTATAATTGTTTAATAACACGTAATTTTAAAATAAAAAATTAACAATATTTGTTAGTTAATAATATGTAACAGATCTGGTATAAATTTGTTTTGTGTTTTACTTAAATAATTTATTATTAATAAAAACATAATACTTTTTAGGGATTAATTTAAAATTCTAGTAAGGTATTATTAAACATTATAAATGTTGAGTATTGAATAATATAAATATATGTTATGTATATATATTGTGAAAGTATTGGCTTGATTTTTTTTATAAGTTATTAGGTACACTCAAAATTATATTTTCCCAGGGTCTTACAAAGATGTATTGTTGTTTGTATATAAATAATTATAAAGTTATTATACATCTAGATATTAATTATGGGAATTCTAAATAAGATGTATTTGTGTAATTAAAATAGAAAATATGAAACATTGTTAGTCTGATTTAACTTTCACATATATTCAATTAATAAAATAAAATTTTAATTTATTTTAATTTAAATAATTCGACTATTATAGAATCAAGTTTATCACTGTAAAAAAAAAAATAGAAATAAATGATAAGCTGTATATTAAATTATTCGGAAAATAATTTTTCATTGGTAATAATATTCTAACTATTTTATATAAATGTTTAATATATTTTTATTTGAATAAAGTACTTTAAGAATTTTTAAATAAATGTATACTACATATTAGGTTGTTTTCAGTTTAGTAATAAATTTCTCAATTGTTAAATCTAAGCAATAAGAAAATATATTGGAATACATTTTATGCATAATTTATAAACTATATATTACATGCCAGAAAAAAAATGTTGGCTAAATTTTTTATAATAAGAATTTAATCTTCGAGATATTTGTAATAGAATTTACTAACAAAAATAAAAAAGAAGAAGATTGAAATACCTATAAATTATTATGATATATATAACATAACTTAATATTAAATCAATAGTTATTACAACTTCATTGACCTAAAAATATTTTATTTTAGATGAAAAAATATTTTGTTTAATATAATCGAAAATTATGAGCTTCTTATTAAAATATTTAAACTCTTTTTGGATATAACAATAATTAAATTATACAATATACAAACAAAATATTCACAGGTGTTTAAAATATTTTATTTAAAGAAATTGTCTTAATTCAATTTATCAACCAGATGTTTCAATATGGATGTACCAAATAATAAAAGGAGTTCAAGAGAGTGATCATGGTGCAATAACCAATAGACATTTAATTGTAATGTTTCATAGAATATGTAAATTATTGTTTTATGGTATTAGACCTGTGTTTGTATTTGATGGAGGTGTACCAGAACTAAAAAAATTAACAATTGTGAGTATTACATTTTGAATTTTAAATTAATTATGCTTTTTAATACAAATTTAAGCATAATATTTTATTTATTTAATTTGTTAATTTAATTAAATTTAAAATATTACCATGTATAGCAAATCTTATAGCAAATTATTATTAAGTAAAATTATTTTTATGTTCGTATTAACAAATTTCACAATTTCATCAGAGGTTTCAAAATAATTAAATTATTTAATTAAGATATATTTTCAAGATATTTTAAACAATAGTTATAATTTGTTATATTAAATTAATATTTATATGGTTTTATTGTTTTGATGTAACATAATATTATTGTTATTTTTGGTGACCCAGGACATTACGTTATTAAGGTAATAAAAAAATTATAACTTTTCATAAGAACAGAGTATTTTAACTTAAATAAAATATTGCATATTAATATAAAGGTTTTGTTTCAATTTAATCTTTATTCTTCAATATTTGATTTATTTCTAGATAGTTTTTATTACTTTTGTTCACTAGAAATAATAATATTTGGACATATCTGTTTATATTTTTGGTTAGAAATAAAAAAAAAATTATTATTTATAGATCTCACTTGAAAATATATAACCCAATTTCAAAAATATTTTTTTTTTAATTGTTTTAAAATTATTTTCCACTAGTGTTATTTTATTTATATATTTTTTTATGAAACATAGATCAAATTAATAATCAGTAAGTTTTTTAAGAGTATTTTACATCCTTAACTAAACTTATATTAAATTTATTAAACCTTTTAATTATTAGCGAGATTAATTCTAAACTTTAGATTTAAGGTATGTCCAATCTAATTTTGTATTAAAATAAATTAAAGATTAATTTATTAAAAGAAATTAAATAAAGTATGACTATGCAGTTGTTTTGTTTTGATATACTTGTATTAATGATAAAATCATTACATTTGTTTGGCATACTGATTGAGATTTTCTCACATTCTTTCAGATTTTTTTTTATTTTTACAGTTAGTTACATTCTATACAAAAATAGGGTAGAACTGATTATTGTTGTTCCTAGTTTTGATGACCATAATCATTTTTGAGAATTCATGGGAAAATTGTTATATGTTAACTTGTTACAGATTCTGTGGGAACAAAAATACATTTTCTAGACTTACAATAAACAAATGCATTGTAATTTAGTTCACCTGTAATTAGTCCTTAATTACTGTGTGTCGACCTGGCATTGTGTTGGTGGATGTGCTACTTACATAAAATACAATTTGTACATAACAATCTGATTTTTATCAAAACCTGTGGAAATATCAATAATTTTTAAAACTTATAATTTTATTTAGTTTATATCATAATTAAAAAATGTAATGTTTTATACATTTTTTTTTTTAATGTGTTAGGTATCTATACAAATGAAATATCTTTTAAAATATAGTCATCATATCATGGTTTATATAAAATAATTTTGTTTAATATTTAGTTGTTTTTAAATTGTAAATATATATTGTCATAATTCTTCTTAAATATTGTTTTTAAATAATCATAAAATCCAAATAATATAAATTAAAGTTTAAAAATGTTTAAATGTTTACAAGATTAAAATATAATAAAAATAATAATAATAATGGAACTTATTTAATAATTATATTTATTAATATATTACTATGCCATACAAACTAACTTATTATTTTATTTTTACTATTTTATGTAGATATATAGACAATGTGTCTATATTTTGTTTATTTTGTGACTTAAATCATTCAGTAAGCAAATAAATTTGTGTATGAATAATGATGTTTTTCAATGTTTCATCAATATTACTTTTGTAATAAAAGTGTTTAATTTTTTTTTCTAAGTAGGAAAATTAATTGTGTTAATTTGATGTTTTACATTTTAATTTCCTCATTCATTTTATATGAACATATTTTTAAATTTTATGTAATATTTTCTACATGTTATATACTAGTCTACTATAGTAGTATGCATTCTTTTTGAGTACTCATTTCATATTTTAACTTTATTTACATGTGAAAGTTTAAGTATTTCACTTACTTGCTTATTATTTCTATTTAATTTAAGGCTCAAAGACAAGCTCAAAAATCCCGTGCAAAAAAATCAACTGGAAAAACCAAAGAGAAAATTTTGAAAAATATGTTAGCACAAGCTGCTTTAAAATCTGTATTAAATACTGGAAATGCTTTGACAGAAGAGGAAGTGATCTCAAAAACTGTCAAAAGTTTAAATAATAAAGCAGAAGTAGATTTATTTGAGTTACCAAAAATGCCAGAAACCTTGTAAATAAATGCTCTTTTATTTAAAATCAAACCTTATATTTAAATTGATGTTGATATTTAAAATTATATTTTTTTTTTTGTTTTTTAGTGAAATTGACAAGACTAAATCATCCATAAAAGAAAAGGAACAATCATACATGAATTTGTCAAATGTTAAAACTGAAAATATTCTACTTCTTGCTGTTGAAAATCATGATAATGATTTTTTGTACACTAATAGTGCAAACGATAAGAAAAAAGGGTCTCCAGCAAAGTTAAATGTATTTATAATTAATGAGTATAATTATATCTAAAACTGTGGTAAAATAATAAAATATTATGACAAGTCGTGATGATCTTAAAAAAATACTAACATATTACATGATTGTTAAGGCGCTTCAAACATTGTTAGTACTTGAATGGGTAATCCACTCAAGTATTTTAACAAATTGATCCCTCTTTTTCCCCAATTAACACTATATTTATTGGGGGCAGGTATAGAACTAAAAGCTAAATGTTTTTTTAGAGAAAATTCATACATTTTATGTGATTTCAGACGTTTTCATCACTGCAAATAGATGAACTTCTAAATGGTTATTCAAATGATCAAAAACGTTTAACAGAAAGAAAAAAGCAACAAAAATCAAAACATGAAATGACATTAAATGAATTAGAAATGTTTTTGAACAACAAAAGTGATACTAATACAAGAATCGACGATATTGGTCAAAAAATTGATTCGGACCATGGAACAGTTTTTTATTATGAATCTGGTAATTAAATCTTAAATAATAATTTTACCACCATTTATCATGTATACACATTATCTAATGTATATTTTAAATAATAAATGATTTTTAATGATAATTCATCAAATTATAATAATTGAAGTATGGCGGTATCTGTTTCAATTCTAAATTAAAAAATATTTTATTATTATTTAAAGAGAAGAAAAAAACAGTTAGTCACAAGAAAAATGTATGTTAATTTTTATAATCTTATTTAATATCTTAGAATTATGAAATAAACAGTATCAATTTCATTTTTGAAGATATTATTAAAAGAAATACCAAAAATTCAAATAACCATATAAAACGATATTTCTATTTTATTTTTTAATTTAGAACACTTAAGAATACTGTAATATTTAATCTCAGAATTTGAAAATATTTTCCTTGTGCCTTTTTTTTTCTTCTATTTTTCTTATTTATTTATATCAGATTTTTATAACCTCAGTATGTAATAAAAACAGTATCGAAAATATCAAATGTTCGTACTCTAATTATTAACTGTATTATAACAATTTCATTTGAATATTATAGGTTTATTATTTTATTAATATAGATGTCAAAAGAGTATCCAAAAAGAGTAGTTTGGAAAAAAATGAAATATCTGATAAAATAAAAATTTCTAATTCAAAAATTAATGAAACGGAATCAAAGGTTAACAGTCAAAAAATAATTTCTACGGACACTGTTGGATCACCTACTCTAACAGATGGTATATTTAATGTTTTAAAATTTTTTAAAATTAACTTTTTGTTTGTTTCTGTAATTATTAATCTTTATATTTATGTAGATATAGATGAAGATATATTTAAAGCTCTTGCTGGTGATGAATCCCTTGAAGAAGATAGACTAGCTTGGCTGATATTTAATGAGAATAAAAAAGCTAGCAAAAGGAGATCAAGTAATTCATTATTGTAATATATTTTCAGTACTTTTTTACTATGAAATTACTTTTTAGGTGAATTTGAAATACCAAATTCAAAATATTTGAAAACAGATATCAGTAATGGCAATTCCGAATTAATATTATCTGATATAGAGGAAGATACATCAATGAAAAATAATGAAGTTGTACCAAAAAAACATTCTTCCAAAAGTATTTTTATTACTGAACATGATTCATTACCCAATGAAATAAATTTAGATACCTTTAATGAAGAAGATTATCTATCATGGGTCTCGCATAGTAAAGGTAAAATATTTATCATGATTTTTTCTTTGCTTGTTAAATAAAATATTAGTTGTAATAAATGTATAAACTTTTCAAGAAAAAATCACTTGAATATAGACTTATATTAAAAACAGTATTTCATATATTATTATCGTAGTGCCTATGAAATATTGACTACTTTTAATATAACTTATCATGTTGATAACTTGATTATTAGATGAACTTATTCAAACAAAATTGGAGGGAAAAAAATCAAGTGTTGATCGCTTGGATATTCCATCTACAAGCAAATCTTTATCATCGATTAAGGAGGTTTATTTTTCTAATAATAATCCTGATGTTGATCAACAATGTTCTACTTCATCATTGTACTTTGAGCCAAAAACGGAATATAAAAATAATATTGAAGATTCACCTGAATATCACCTATCTGATCATTCTAATGGCTCTTTTTCTGAAAACTCACTTGAATTTTCATCAGAGGAGAGTTTATCTGAAGATAATATTGGATTAGGTTAGATTAGTTGTTTTTGAGTACCTAACCTTAGATATTATTTAATATTTTTTATAAGTGAATAATTTATAATTACTTTTTTTTTCACTGTTGTAGATAATCAAAACAAAGTTAAGACGGCTGCAGTTCATGGTTCTAAAATTATACCAGATAATTTCACAGCTTCCAAAACTGAAAATGAGGAATTCAATTCAAAAAAAAACTGCGGTAATATGATAAGCTAATTATTTCCTTGTGTTATATATCTATACCTATATATATTTTTTATTTAACAAATTAGTAATAACAGAGAAATTGAAATCTTCGAAACAATCTAATATCAGTACTAAACATATAAAACCATCTGAAACTAAAACAAATCATGCTAATGATGAATATTTATTGTCTATACAGGTTAGTTATATAATAACTAATAATGTAATACATATTATATTTAATATTTAAATACTCTATAAATAATATAAATATACATTTAAAATTAATATTTTTCTAGGATACATTAGTAAAACATCAAAATGATTTAGCTAGCTTACAGAGAACATCTGATCGAATGGCATCATCTGTCACACAAAAAATCACTTCAGATATAAAGGTTTCATTAATTTTAAATATGTATATATTTATAAATACATTATTTATTTATGAGTTTTAATAGTAAATATAGTTAAGTATACATTTTTCATACCCTATCCAAACTTAAAATAGCTAATTTGCTGGTCATAATTTATGTATACATTTTATTTAATTAATACTTTTATATTTGATAGTCATATATATAATAAGTTATGCTAATAATTTATTTGTATTAATATTTTTTATAAGAATATAGGTGATATTTATTATGATAAGTTGTATATTAATTTTAATAATTATTAAAACTAAAACACAACTAATCACTATTATAATAGGTTTCTAGTATTCTGTAATATTTTCACTATTCCCTATTAAATTTTACTGAATAATTGCTTTTGTTATTGATTATTTTCTGTAAATTATTATTCTATTTATTACAAAAAGCTTTTCATTTCAATTTTTTTTCAAATAAATTCTTTACATACTTCATTATTGATTTAAATGATCGAAACTCATATTATTTAATTTTTTATATTTAAAAAACTGTTATAATGCTATAACTTTTTTGACTCTGATTAAACCGTTCTTTTATTTTAGTATACAATCTAATGATATTTAAGTTATTCAATTTCATATATTTCATATGTGTATCAATTTGTGGTTTAATATCAGTTTTTAAATCTTCAATCTGAATTTTAAGTCTTAATTTATTATGCTTATGAGATCTATAGTAATATTAAATATTTATTCAATAGATGCTTTAAGAAACTAAACTAATCTATGTTTTTAAAGACGATTATTATGAAATTAAATTTCCATGTTTATTTACTATAATAATAATATATTAATATTTATACTAGTGTTTTTATTTAATTATTCATGCTATTGCAACTAACAATATTAAAATATGATACGCATCTTACAATAATTATAATTAAAAATATAATTTATTTATTGCTCTTATACTTGAGTATTATGTATTATATTAAATACATAATGTATATTACATTTTTAATTTATTTATTTTCATTTATAGTGTTTAATATAACACTATTTCATTTTTATTTTTAAAAAAATTAATTAATAAATAATTATAAATCAACATGAATACATTGAGATCCATATAAAGCTGGTGAATTAGTTAAGTTTGGTTAACAATAAAAAATTTGTTTAAACTACTTCTATTATTAATATTATAATAAATTAAATTGTTCTTAAATAAAAGCTGATTTTAAATATTGTATTGTTTTAAAATTATTTTTATTAATTAATTGATTTATATTTTATATGCATTTATTAAATACATTAAATAATTTATTTTAAAAATATTAATTAATTTTTTGATTTAATTATTATTATAATATAAATATTTTGACTAAAAATGTCATTAATAATATAATGAAAATATTATTTTTGAGTATATGGCTATGGTAAAGCCATTTATTTTACTGCAAATTTGTTTTACAATAAAAATTATTTCTCGAGAAATTTTTTTTTAACATCACCACTCCATTGTTATCATTATCCCAAATTAAAAAAATCTTGTGCTTTTACACAATGCACTATTTATTGTTGTTTTGTTTTAAGTACATATAATATATCATTTAAATTATTTTTAATTTTTCAGTGTCTCTTGAAGTTGTTTGGTATACCATATATTACAGCTCCAATGGAAGCTGAAGCACAATGCGTGTTTTTGGAACAAATTGGTCGTACTGAAGGGACAGTGACGGATGATAGCGATGTATGGTTGTTTGGAGCTAATGTTGTTTATAAAGATTTTTTTGACAGTCAAAAGTTTGTTAAACAATTCAAAAGCATTGATATTAAACAGAAATTTGGTAATTTAATTAAATTAATATATTGACAAGCTTAATGATAAATTTTTTGTTGTTTTAGCTTTGTCGCGAAATAGTTTTATTCAATTAGCTTTTCTAGTGGGAAGTGATTACACAAATGGTATTGATGGGATAGGTCCTGTGTCGGCAATTGAAATTTTATCTTTTTTTGAATCAAAAACTAAAAATATGAGTATTGAAGAAAAATTATTAAAAATTAAAGACCTTATAAACTCAAAATCTGAAGTACATAGTGATATCCCATTTATGAAAAAATTGAAATCGACCAAGATTGGTAGTGGTAAATAATTATATATTTAATATTAAGGTATAGATAATTGTACTTTTATTTTTATATTTAGATTTTCCTAATAAAGCTGTTATAAACGCTTATTTAAATCCAATTGTTAATGAAACAAGTGAAAAATTCAGCTGGAGTGCGCCCCAAGTAGATTCGATTATTCAATTTGCTCAAACCAATTTTGATTGGGATGTTTCTAAAACCAAAAGCACATTAGCCCCAGTGCTAAAAAAAGTTTCTGCACGAACGGTATGGTTTATATCTTAAATAATTATTTAATCCTTTATATTATTTAATATTATAAATCTGGTTTTAGACTCAAAAGTCGTTGGACTCATATGTAAAAATGCTTCCAAAATTAAATAGTACGAATACTGGGATGAGTAAACGCGTTAGTCTTGCTGTGAAAAGGTTGCGCAATGATAGTAGTTCTAATGAAATTAATAACCCAAAATCTGTGGATTCCAAAATATTGACTTCAACTATTCCTAATGATATAGATAAAAATCGAAAGAGAAACCGTAAATGAATCTATTGTTGAAACAGTTTAACGAGTGAAATTATGCCAAATTTGTATATGCCCAATTTTTCAAGAACTGTTTTTTTTTAGTACCTTAACATAATTTCTTATTATATTTTATATAATATTAGATTAATTTATTTAAACTATTTGGGTGTTTTTACAATGTACAAATTTATATATTTGAATAAAATTTTCAATTGAAAAATAAAAATAAAAATAAATTTTCTATCCTGAAGCTATTTATTTTCTATATCATATTACTGTTATTGTTTAAATAATTTAATTGTAAATTAATTCTAGTCATCATTTATGTTAATGAATTCTTACTATATTTTTAATTATTAAAAAGTATAATAATAATAAAATAGGAACATTTTAATTGTTTTTTTTTTTTTTTTTTTTTTTTAACATTATGTTAATGTTAAGTCTGTTATTATAAAATAAATTGTTTTAAGCTAAATTATTTAAATATCTGTACCAAATTATTGTGTCATATGATAAGTATGATTTTACATGAGCTATTATTCATATTTTTATTCTAGTATAATAAGCTATTACTTATTATATTTATGGTTGTAATTGCATTAATTTCTTAAATTACACTTTGTTTAAAATTAAATTATCAATTTATGTTATATTTCGTGCTTAAATATTGTCATCCCAAAAATATTGATTGTAAATTGTTGATTATAAACATAAACTTGAAATCACATATATTGAATCATATTTTACTATATTAAGGTTATAATTAAAAATTATTTTGTTATTAAAATACTAAATTTTTAAACATTGAACAAACTTTTATTAATGATTCATGCTACTTTTTTTTATGAAGAAATGTTTTATTTATCTATATTTTAGTTAAACTTTTCCTATTGATAAAAAGTAGTAACATTTGTATGGGACTGATTAAAAGTATACAATAATACTTGTTTTTAATATTATTAGTATTCTGATATGTATATTTGTAATTAAAAATTATTAAATAAAATTTTTGTAGAGAGTAATAATCATTTATAATAACTAATATTGATGATTACTAAAAAAAAAAAATGTCAATATTTTTATTTAATTTTATAAGATTCATGAAATAATAATAATAAGGGATATTGTATTATCACATTTGTCTGCTTTTTCTTTCACATATTTATTAAAATAAATTTAAAAATTATAACAGTAATTTGTTTTGTATTTGATTATTGCGATATTACAATTTTAAAGAGCGGTACATGTATTTATTAAGCTTTATATTGATTATGTTAAATTACTTCAAGTAATTTACTTGATAGAAAAATTAAATAATACCAATAAGCAAATTAAGTTGTGTAATTTATGTTCTTATTTTTAAATTTTATTCTTAAATAATTTACTCAGTAATAAAGTTTTAAAGTTTTGAAAAAATACTTATTTTCTGTAAATGTAAAATTGCTATAACAATTATTTATATATTATTATACTTGTGTGCACGGTAAAAGTTACAAATGTTGGTATGACCTCTTAAACATATGTAAATTACTAGAAAATATATTTAATTAATATTAAGTCACTTATTAATTTAACCATTAGATATATTTTAAAGTAGATAGTTAACATTCCTAACAGAATAATATATATAGAGTTATTTTATTTCATTGTTTTATCTAAATTTATTATCAATTTAACTATGTATAATTTACATAATAGCTTAACATTTGATCATTACTATATATGAACTTAATTTCAGTATTTCATAATAGAATAATTAAACTTAAACATGTAAATATTTCAACATTTTATCTTATTAATTATTATTAGTTTATATAGACCTACTAATGAAATAAATCATACATTTTTGTAAGTAAACTGGAAGTTTATAATACTATTTAATTAATATATTTAGTATGTAGATGAATTATAAATCTAATTATAAATTATATCAACAGAAAAATGTGTATTTTTTTTTTATATTTGAAACCAGTATATTATATTTACAATATATTACAATATATAATATTTACTATATAATAATTTATATACATTTTAGTTCCATGAAACATTATTGTAATTTATTATGGAATCAATGTTTATTTATCATACAATTGTAGTATTTTTATTTAAATTTTAAAGTGTAACCTACAATTTTAATCTATTTATGAACTTGCATCTTGTATTCAATAAAACAATTAATTTTGTGTTTAAAATTTTATTTAACTATAACTTGCGTATTATTTTCAATTGTTTCTAAATTAAAATTAATGATATTATCATATTAAACGACTGTGCATAGTTTAATAAATTATAATACACTGGTAAATGACTATAAAATTAATTAAAGCTAGGCAATAATTGTTTTTTAAATACAAAAAATATGTAACTTGTAACTTACAAAGTTATTATTTCTAATTAATTAGTTCAATAATTTTTAATAAAATGTAATCAGCTTAGTGACAATTTACTATATTTTTTAGTTTTATATTATCATTAATGTGTGATATTTTTATGATTACTAATGAATAATAATAATTAATAAAATAATAAAAATTAATAAATCACTAATACTTGTAAGTTAATATATAAATAATTAAACAGTTTATGTGTAAAAATAAATAAATAAATATTTAACCTGGAGTATAATTATGTTTATGAAATATAACTGATTTCAAATTAAGATTCACCGTCAAATATGTACAAAATCAATAAAATCGCAATTGAAAATGAATAAAATAAATGAAGGAATATATTGAAAAAGTTATTTTAATAGAAATCATAATAAATTGTTAATTAGACTTTGGTTATTATTATTATTTATTATTATCTAAATGTATTGGTATAAGGTATTGTTTTTAAAATCAGTTTGTACATATAAAATATTATTAAAATAATTTTTTTTTTTATTTCATTGTGTATGTGTAATTCTTCTAAAACTGAATTAATGTAAATACAATTTTGGTTATTAATATTTCTGAGTCAGTATTGATATTAAAATATATAGTATAATTGCTTTTATAAGGAACATGTTAACATTACCAATTTTTTATTATTAAGTTGTTTTTTAATAAAATACATGTTTAAATTATTGATTAATATTCATTTAATTATATTGTTAACTGTTATAGTATGAAATATCATTACAATATGTCTACCAAACTTGCTAAAATTCTAAATAATGGTATTAATAATGTAAAAATTGGTTTTAAAACTAATAATAATTTAATCAAACATATTAGTAATAGAAGTGAAATCTTCACAACAAATCTTTTTTCTTTTGAAAATCCTGGTATACCAGGTCTGGTACCATAAGCTTAAATGTAATTGTAATAAATGTTATTCAAGCAAGATAAATGTAAATTTTAAATTTATATATAAAGAATATGATTCTGAAATAAAATAAAAATAGAATATATAAAAAGATTCTGCTCCTAATTCTAACTTAATAACTATATACTTAATAACTAATTTTTTAGAAAATAACCATAATATACATAATGATATCATGACAGATTTAGAAATATTTAACACTCGAAATAAGATTTACATCAATTCAGTTTTAGAAGAATTACACACACATAATGAAATAAAGCAAAATAATTTTAATAATATTTTATATGTACAAAATGATTTAAAAAACAAATATCTTAATATCAATAAATTTTAGATAATAATAACCAAAGTATTTACATTTCTTAACATATCTATATCTAATGTAAATTTATTTTAAATAAATTATATCCATATAAAACAATCAATTTTCTTTAATGAAAGCTTTCCTTTATTTTTTATATTCGGTCTTGATTTTATTGACTTTGTATATATCTGACCGAGAATTTTTAATTCAAAACCGGTCATATATTACAAAATTAATAAAATTATTCTTAATATAATAATATTCCCCATGTTAAGTACTTATACATGAATGTATATATGAATGATAATAGGTAAAAGTTTAATTATTAATTAACCAAATCAAAAATCTTATAAGTTTGAGATAGGTACTATTATGTGACCTTCACTGCGTTGATCATTTTATTGTAAAATACGCATCAGAGTTGAGGTTCCAACTCTGCAAGGTAATAATAGGCAGAATAGTTGTTTTATTTCGCACTAGTTCAGTGTTGTATTTATTTAGGTACTACGCTAATTAGGCCCTGAATGTTTTTGGTTGTAAATTAAGCAATTACCTATTTAATAATTTATCAGTCTAGAGCTTATGAAGCATGTAGCTATTTTTGTGTTGTAGGTTAATTTAATTATGTGCAAAGAAATTCGAGTTTATAAAATTAACAATGTCCTATGAATAGTCTTTTTTTTTTTAGATAACTATAATTTATTATTTTGCATCATTTGTATTATATTATTATATAACAATAAGATAATACGTATTTTAATGTTTAGTTTTTCAATATTTGTTTTTTTTGTTTTTTATCAAACTATGTCATATTCTATAATAGTTCAATACAGGGGTGGATCCAAAGGGGGGCGATCAAACCTCCCTCGCGTTGTATACTCGATTTTGGTTCGATAAATTCAGATAGAGATATTCAAAAGAGTTCTATAACTTTATTGGCCTGATAAGATCGAATTATGTTGTGATAATAATTCTATTTTAAAAACTATTTTTTCCCTTCGTCGTCTTGAGACCAGGCTAAGAACAAGAAAGACTGAAAGAAGACTTAATGGACCATCTCTTATATATTGATGCAATAATTAATATATTTGGAAAATCGTCGAGGAAATTAGATTTTACATTATAAATAATTGAATCATCAAATTTATATTTATGACTAAATTGTTATTATTCCTATATAAAATACAATTTCTTTTTTCCATACAATACTGTGGAAAATATTATATGTATGTAACTAAAAAAAGAACTATATCAATTATAGTAATTAACTATATTAATATTTTTAATTTGATCTATTTCATGTTTGCCTTTTAAAAATCGACTCCCCCCCTCGTTATCTTGGTCTGGATCCGTCCCCGGTTCAATAATAATAATAATAATAATAATACTTAGTATCTTAGCAAAGAAACTTTTTTAACCTTTCTCGTGTCACCTTTAATAATCCTGTATATTACTCGCATGTTGGGAATTATCTAGATAAATTTATTAGATGAGTTAGCTAGATAAAAACTATTTATCTACTATCTTATCTAGATAAACTCA